GCTTTCTTAGTTGTTCATGTCTTCTGGCAGCTCTGTGCATGCGCACACTGGGAACAGGCTCCAGCTGTTCTTCTGCCTCACTGCTGTCTAGCTCCTTCTCTGCCTCCGATGCAGAGCCCTCCTCTGAGTCTTCCCCAGACTCCAGGACTGGCCCACGTTCCTCCCCAACCTCCTCACTCTCCGACTCTGCTGCCAGCTCCGCAGGCCGCTGGCGGGCCACAACACACACATTTACGTGACCTTTACTCATTCAGCAACATCAAGCCAACGGCACTATTTATCATGAAATACACCGTATTTCTTTTATTATCCCAATTATTTAGCCATTGCCTAGCAACCCCCGGGCCTGTTAAATCCAAGTGGAAAGATGGAACCTGACAAGACGCATTTTATAATCTTTAACATATTCATCTTTTTGCAACTCCCGGCGTAATGCAATGTCACTCAAGAGGTTACGGCTGTCACTCACTCTCCGTCTGACTTGCCGTAAGGACACTAATGATCCCATCCTTCCCCTCGTTTTCGCTGAAGCAAACTAATAGCAGGAATCTTTCCAAAGAGTTTACCCTAATTTTAGGAAATGGGCAGTTTCTGCTTGAAGGCCCCCTGGGGAGATCGCTTGAGGATATCTATTTTAATACCAGTAGTAGAGGGCGTGTAATCTTGCCACTTCTAGCTCTTCCATCCCCTGAAGCAGAGAGACCAAAGTATGTATTACAGAGAGCCCTTGATTTGCTTGGTGACTTAAAAGAGTTACAACGGCACTGAAAATAGTGACTTACGACCGTTACCCGCATTTACGACCGTTGCAGCATCCCCCGCGCTCACGTAGTTAAAATTCAGACTCTTGGAAACTGGTTCGTATTTATGACGGTCATCATGGTCCCCATTTGCGACCCACACCTGACAAGCATAGTCGACGAGGAAGCCAGATTCACTCAGCAACCGGGTTACCGACTTAATATCTCCAGGGCTTCACTTAACGACGGAGGCAAGAAAGGGTCTCAAAATGGGGCAGGACTCACTTAACGAGTGTTTTTTTAATCCCAGTAAGGGTATGGCTAGCTGATGAGAGCTAAATAGCTTGAAATAGATCTATACTAGTCTCCCTTTATTTATTTATCACCACAAATACAACACACATACATACATACATACATACATACATACATACATACATACAT